ATTGGTCAAAGAGAGAAATGATTACCCACTCCCCCAGGGGATTGTGTATGGAGTATGTTGGGTAGATAGCAAGTAGACACAGAGATACACAGAGGCCTTGGGGACTCCCTCTGATGCAATGTGAGCCCTACAACATCTCTGAATGATAGAGTGAGTAAGCCTCCATCTAGTCCAGCTTCCTGCTTAGCATCCTTCCAGCATCCCACGCTTCTCTCCCCCTCCTTCTCATAAAAGCATGTTTCAATAAAGGCTCTGACAAGAATCACCACCTTAACCTCTGCTCTGTGGAACAAACCAAAAATTGTTTCTATATATCCAAAACATGGGCATTGCACAGATACTTCAATAGTGTGTGTGTGTGTGTGTGTGTGTGTGTGTGTGTGTGTGAAACTTACTGAGCCCCTTTGGTGTTGCTTATATGAATATATGTTTTGGGCTGACCCTTTGGGATTGAACAATCTATCAGACTGATTCTACCTCTGTAGAATTGATTGCCTGTTGCTCTTCATGTAGGGATGGAGCCTTATAAGATTCGGCCCCCTACACACACAGTAGCATGGAGACTGGTGTCGTTATGCCAGTCATTCCGGAACCATATTGTTGAGAGTCCATAGGTAGACACTGTGGAGCAGTAAGTGCCCTGGTCCTCTGGCTTTCATATTCTTTCTACCCCTGTAGTAGATGTACCAATTGGAGTTTGGCACCTCACCATCACTTCTTCTGTACATTTCGACCAGATGCAAATCTTTACAGTCGCCTCGATCCGCTTCAAAAAGAAACTTCTTTGTTGAGAGGTTAGAGCTACACATATCTATGGGAATACAGTAGGTTTAGCAAAAGGGCAGTAGTATATACCCCATATCACACAGGCAGTAATGTTCCTCCACAGGCCATAACAAAAACCCCAGTGTTAGACATAGGAGGCCTCCCTTGAACTGCTGATCAGGATGGTTCAAAAGACTCCCAGACCAATATAGGCTGTTGCCCACCCTGGGCTTCTTCCTAGAACTTGAAGAAAAAATCCTATTGCTGATTATACCACATACTTCAGCCACAGGCTGGGAGGAATCAGGCTGGGACTGACCTGGAAGCCTCTTTTTAAAGGACTGGCCCTCAGAAGGTGTTCTGCAAGCTGCCAAGGGAGAAAAGCAATATTCTTCACTGTGTGTAAAGTCAGAGAACTACATCAATGCTTGTTGTCCCCAATGGTGAAGTGGTGGTGCCATCATTTTGTAGGTAACCAACAGCTGTCTAATTGAACTCAAGGCCCTCTTAATAGGAGGAGATTCCTGCCCAATACTATAAATCCAGTCAACTACACATACCTGAGAGTCATTTCCATGATTAAAAGTGCTTGTAATACTTTGCAAAAATCCCCTTTGGAACTATTATTGAGATTGTAATGAACTCATAATATAATTTGGAAAATTTTCTATCATCAAAAGACTGGATCCTTCCAGTTTTCCACAGTGAGTTGATTTGCCCACGTATCAGATGTGCTGGCCAGTTTTATGTCAACTTGACACAAGCTAAAGTCATCTGAGAGGGGAACCTTGGTTGAGAAAATGTGTCTATGAGATTCAGCTGTAGGACATTTACTTAATTAATGATAGATGGGGGGAGTGCACTATTGTGGGTGGGGCCATCCCTGCACTGATGGTTCTAAAAAAAAAAAGCAGGCTGAGCAAGATGTGGAGAGCAAGCAGCAGGATTTCTGCCCTGCTTAAGTTTCTGTTCTGATTTCCTCTGATGATAACAGTGACATGGAAGTATAAGCCAAATAAACCCTTTCCACCTCAAGCTGCTTTAGTCCTGGTGTTTTATCACAGCAATAGTAATAATACTGACTTAGACACCAGGTTTTCCTGCACAGCTTTTGAGATGCAAAATCTCCATTTCCTCAAGCTTCTCCCGCTTACTAAGTGAATTGCTATATTTACATGATCTAAGGACAAAAATGTAATAATTTTCTTTAGGCTTCAAAATCTCCCCCAGCAGAGCTACAGTCGAGATTTATTTATTTTTTAAAAAAAAAATCTCTTAACTGATTGCCCCCACTGCTCCCAGCTGCCATGACTTTTGCTTAAAACATCAGCTTCCTTGTTGTGGTCAAAACACTTCCCTTCAGCAGCTCTTTCTCAGCACAGTAACCACAGGAGACCACCTCCTGCTGGTCAGATAACACCATGCTCTAGAGCCTTTGCTGAGTTTTCATTTTGGTCTTATCATGGCAGTAGTAATTCTAGCGATTAAATTGGCTCTTTCAAATCAGTTCCCGAATCCAGACTTCCCTCACTCCAACTTCAGACTGGCCTACCCAACTCTCCACTGACTCTCTCAAAGTGCCTTGAACTTAGCATGGTCAAATACAACCGTGTATTTCCATGCTTACCCTAAGTTTACTCTTCCAGTGGTCCTCTCCGTCTCGGTAAAGGACATCATTGTTTTTACATTATCTCAGGTAGAATGTAATCATTCTCTTTAGATGTCAACTTCAGCTCTTCACACTTTCAAACAGGTGCTATACGGTCAAGATGCATTTTAAAAAATGACCTAATCACTGTTTATCCCACGGCTCCAGCATCTGTGCTCCAATCACTGTTTATCCCATGCTCCAACACTGATGATCTAATCACTGTTTATCCCACGGCTCCAGCACCTGTAATCTTTTTCTTGCCTTTATTACAGCAGCTTTCTTGTTACTCTTGCCGCTTCTCTGCAGTAACTGGAATGAGACTGCTCTCTGTGAGTCAGACAGTGTAACATGAGGGCCAGCTTGTTGGGGTACCCCACAACCGTCAAATCCCAAAGAGAAAATAAACCACACAGAGATCTCTATAAGGTTATAAACTGATTGGCCCATTAGGTCAGGCTTCTTATTAGTTCTTGTAACTTATATTAATCCATTATCATTATCTATGTTAGCCATAATGGCTCAGTACCTTTCTTAGTGTGACAGCTTACATGTTGCCTCTTCAGTGGTCTGCACAGGAGTGGCAGAGGGAGCTTCCTGTAGTCTCTTTGCTCCACCCCTACTTCCTGTCTGACTTTCCCACCTATACTGCCTGCCTGGCCAATCAGCGTTTTATTAAAATATGATTGACAGAATACAGACAATTCTCCTACACCATTTCCCTCTTTTTTTAAAAAAAAAAAAAACAAAGGAAAATACCCATAGTCTATTTGTTGGGAATGTGGGTGTAGTATTTCAGGCTACTTCCTGCTGGTTGGGGGCGCTGATGATCTTATGGGGACCTAAAGAAAATTTAGAGTTATAATCAAGTCCTGACTGGAGTATCCTGTGAGTCTTGATCATCTCAGGCAGCAGCTTTGAATCTGTTCTGGATGTAGAACTCTGTCTACATCTGGGCCATCTATTCCTGTCGGAGATTTTTCAGGTGGCCTCCCTTGGTCAAAGGTGATTTTTCTTAACTCTGAATAAATCCAGAGCCTCTCGTTTTCTGTGGAAACAAAAGCAAAAATCTCTTCTCCAAAGTAACATACCTTTTGCCTTCAATTTTGAAGCCAAGGTATTTTCAAAATGCCTATCTTGGATTAATTCTGTAGCATTTATAAGCAAATATTTTTTAGCAACTGTTCCTCCTTCCTCAGCATTTAAATAATTCAAGAGAGCATAATAGCATACAATATCAAGATTCTCTGTTTATTTTCCATCTTTATGCAGCTTTATTTCAACCTCTATTTCTTTTATTTTTACTTTTAACTTTTGGCTTTTTGAGACAGGTTCTCTGTATATATCTTTGTCTTGGAATAACTCTGTAGACCAGGCTGTCCTTGAACTCACAGAGATCTTCCTGTCTCTGCCTCCCCAGTGCTGGGATTTAAGGTGTTTGCTACCACACCATGAACTCACAGAGATCTGTCTGTTTCTGCCTCCCAGGCATTGGGATTAAAGGCATGTGCTACCACACCTTGAAGTCACAGAGGTCAATCTCTACCTCTGTCCCTTGAAGTCACAGAGGTCAATATGCCTCTGCTTCCCAGGCATTGGGATTAAAGGTGTGTACCACCACACCCTATTTCTCCCTTTCTTTCTTTTTTATTTTTAATGACTTTAAATTTTAGCCTGCATATATTTTTAACACACTGTAAACCATTTAGAGGTTTTCTTTGTCTTTGAATCTCTCTTTACTGCATATCTCTCTTTTTCTGACCACGTGAGTCTTTAATGGGTAGGACTAAAGCCTTGGCTTTGACAGTTAGATCCAACCCATTCCTTAGCTTTCCAGTCTCATGGCTGAGATACCAGCCAGAGCTGTGTTCACTGCCACAACTCTATGGCGTTTCAAGGTCCTTGCTAGCAAGCAAGCTGGTAGTATTCTGCTCATAGACCACACTCAGTCAGACTGCCTGCCTAAAAGAGTCAGAGTTTGCCCTGGCAGGACAGCCCAGAAAACTGGCATTTTAAAAAAGCGCAGCTTTTTTCCTGCTACTGCTGAAAACCCAAAAAGCATGCGTTCAGCTTTTCATCAACACCGTTTAAGTGCTTCGCGGCAGGACCTCTTAAAAGAGCTGCAAGGTTTTGCAGCTAAAGCTGAGTCAGGAAGCCTCTCTTAGATAAGAGTGCTTGCTTGCCTCTAACAAGCAGAGCAGACCTGAGAAATTGCTGCTACCAACAAAACATGCTTTACTCTATTCTTTCCCAAGCTTTCTCAGGCTTTCCATGGATTCAGATATCCACGTGGGCTCCATATGTAACATGAGGGTCGGCTTGTTGGGGTACCCCACAACCGTCAAATCCCAAAGAGAAAATCAACCACACAGAGATCTCTATAAGGTTATAAACTGATTGGCCCATTAGGTCAGGCTTCTTATTAGTCCTTGTAACTTATATTAATCCATTATCATTATCTATGTTAGCCATAATGGCTCAGTACCTTTCTCAGTGTGACAGCTTACATGTTGCCTCTTCAGTGGTCTGCGCAGGAGTGGCAGAGGGAGCTTCCTGCAGTCCCTTTGCTCCACCCCTACTTCCTGTCTGGCTTTCCCACCTATACTGCCTGCCTGGCCAATCAGTTTTTTATTAAAATATGATTGACAGAATACAGACAATTCTCCCACACCAAGACAGCATCAAATATCTGCCTACAAGTGTTCAGTGTGTGTTCACTTGGATCTAAGTAAAATCCCAAGTACTTTCAGTGATCTCTCAGGCTCTTTCATGGGGCTCCTCTGCCCCCCTGATCCTGCCTCTTATGACTAATCTTTCCTGTGCTCCAGACTCAGTACATGAAGGTACTAGCCTCCTCAGGTTATCCGCATGGCCGTTTGTTCCTCATATGGGCACCAAATCCATGCCTGGACTCTTTCTGGGTATCTGTCTATATTCTGATGACTTTCCATGTCATCCATATGTAAAATTATGTCTTATTCCCCCTAGATTAGGGGATGCTGGGAGAACTTGGTGGCCAGGTTAGCTTTGACGTATTAAATAGCCACCTCAGCTCTTTGTCCCAGAGTCGAGTCCTTTCAGAGATCACTCACTAAGAAAGGAGGGAGGACTTCAGAAGCTGCAAAATGAAGAATGAAGAAATGGATTCTCCTTGTAGCCTGCAGAGAAAGACAATGCTACTGATTTTATCTCACTGGTTTTATTCCAGGGAGAACAGTCTGTATCAGACTTCTAACCCATAGAACTATAAGCCAATTAGTTCATAGGATTTTAAAAACATTTTTATTTTCCAAGATTTTATACTAGAGTACTGTACTTACAACAGTTCTACCCCGCACTCTCCCCACTGCAACTACCCCCATGTCCTTCCCAACTCCTTCTCAACTTCACAACACCTTTCTCTTACTGTCACACACACATATGTATGTCTACTACAGCTTGATGAATCTCTTTAGTGTTGTTCATGTGCACATGTGTTTAGGCATGACCACTTGGGAGTGGATAACTTGGGGGGGGGGTATTTGGGGTGAAAACTGATTTGATGGCATCTCTTCTTTAAGCCCCATCTAAGTCTGTTTTCTAATGTTGTGATAAAATACTGGCCAAAAGCAATTTGGGAAGGAAAGTCTGTTGAGAGGAGTCAAGGCAGGAACTCAAAAGCAGGTACTGAAGCAGAAGTCATGAAGGAATGATGCTCTTTGTGGCCTATACAGCCTGCTTTCTTATACACCCTAGGATCATCTGCTAAGGGATGGCACCACCCTCAGTGGGTAGGCTACAGACCAATCCGTTGGAGGCATTTTCTTAATTAGGATTCACTCTTCCAAGCTATATCTAGGTTTGTGTCTAGTTTATAAAAACACAGCTGGCAGAAGCCCCATTCTTGCCCATGAACTTGCTTGCTAGTTCTTAGAGAGAGCACCAGCCATGGGCTTCCTCTTGCACCATCACTGCATTTCCTTACCCATCTGCTCCTATGCCCTACACCACATTGTGCTTTGAACACTTCTCCTTGCCTACTGGAGGATGTATCCCACAATGATTGCTTCCTTATACTTCATCATGAGCTATCTAAATAGCAGATTATTTTTGTCAGCATAAAAATATGCTATTTTTTGCTACTATAAAAAAGTTTTATTCCCAATTCTCTTCTATTGGCAGGCTCAATTTAATTGTTCACCTAGTAAGCTAAACCTAGAATAGTTGTTTGTTTTTGTCACCTTTAATTCCCAGCTACAAGGAACTCAACAAACAAATCCACAAATTCTTCTGGAGACCTTGCTCCAACCACAAGTTCAGCTAACCTGTACAGCTTGCACACATCTCGGGAGACAACATTCCAGGTTCACCAATCCTCTGTGGACCTCAGATGACTGCAGCTATTCTCATATAAGATGGGAGAAGGGCCATCTCCTCTTCCTCCATAATTCTCCAAGAAGCAAGTGACTGGTACAATGGGGGAGACTTGTGATTGATCTTATGCAAGGGGATTGCTCATCCCCTTCCCCTGAGAGGCCGCCTTGGTGGATCTGGAAGCTGTTGCTGTGATGGGCTGAAAACATTCCTTCATTGTCATGCTGCATTATGTGATCCCAACCTCCTAGGAATATAATCAAAACAACTTGGGTCACTTTTGTGTTATTTAAGAGCTAGCCTCACATGTTGCCCTTTGATATTGCAACATTAGGCTCAGTAAAATGGCTTTACCTGAATGCTATTTCCTTCGTCCACTTTTTAGCAATCAGAAGACTAGAGGGCTGAACTGGAAGCACAAAGAGAAGACAATGGAGCATCAGTCATGGTGCAGGTGGCAGCAGCCAAAGGACTGATGAAGATCCAGAGTGTGGTCAGGGTGGAAGCATTGGGCAGCTGAGGTGGCCATGACCATGCAGGGTTGTAGATGTATGGAAGAGGTGAGAGAAAAAGAAAAGGCAAGAAGACAAGGAGGGAGACTGTGTAGGCAGGTGGGAGACAGGTGGGAGGCAGGTGGGAGGCTATGGAGGCAGGTGGGAGGCAGGTGGGAGGCAGATGGGAGGCTATGGAGGCAGGTGGGAGACAGGTGGGAGGCAGGTGGGAAGCTATGGAGGCAGGTGGGAGACAGGTGGGAGGCAGTGCCATGATCATCCATGGGGTGGATCCGGTGGAGAAAACAGGTGAGAAGAGTCCTCAACTTGTTTGAATCCATGTTTCTTGCTTTTCCTGGGCTTCTGTTGCATCCTTGACTCTGTTTTACTTATTCATCTTGCCCTTGATGCAGCCAACCAAAAACCCCCTTCATTTGCTACCACCTATTTGTGTTGGAGTTCTGTCACTTGAAGCAAGTGCATGGGCAAAGGTTACAGGAGGGTAACAGAGGTTGGTGTCGAGCACCAGAGTGGCTGATGCTGGGGAATGCCAATGACTGATGACTGGACAGAAGCAAGTATAAACAAATGTGACGATCTCTTTATGTAGAATAGTATGCACTGTTAGCACATGGATGCAGTTAGGAAAGAACGGGAGAAAATATGACAAACCATGGATTTCTCCAGGTGGTAAGGTTTCCGAGGAATCCTGGTTTTCCTGTTTATTTTTCTATGTTTTAAATTTTCTGTAGTGAAAATACAAAGGCAATAAATCTTTGTAGGTGTAAAATAATAAGTGTAACTTCTCTTCACCTAACTTAATTATTCTGTTTTTGTTTTTAACCCCAAATCCATTTTATGTTGAAGAGAAATAGAAGAATTTTTATGTAAGTTCTGAGATGACCTATTTATCCTTTGGTTTGCTTTGATAGACTTGATACCCATCATGCCCCTTTTCTGCCTTGGTATAATTTACTAATACATTGAAAAGGCAATGAGAATACATACCCTCTGACGATTTACTCTCATTCATTTCTTTCTGCACCATTAAAAGCAGATGCCTATAAAATTTTTTCCTGCATTTAAAGAATTGAATTTTCTTTATATTTTAGTTTAAGTATTAAATAGGAAACACCCACAAGGTGAAAAACTATGCTAATTTTGTAAATGATCTTAAGTACAGTGTAGCTGGGCCCAAGAAAGCTGAAAAACACCCAGAAATACTAGAAAATACAAGTACCCATGCAAGACAGTGAATTCCAGTGCCATGCCAAAATCAGAAGCGGTGGTGGCAGTGTTGGTGGGTGTGCAGAGCAGCCATGTGGAAGAGATTATAGGCAAGTGGGGCATGTAATAAAGAACATTCAAAATTGGTGATCTTTGGGAAGGGGCCATCTAGAGACATAACATTTAAAGGGTAGTAAGTAGCTTGATCCTAATGGAGTCAAAGAAGTTTGGGAACTCTTTGGTCAAGATACAGGTTTATAGTACAGAATTATCCCATTAGTCAAAACTACATACGGTACAATTGGACTTTTATAACAACCCAACTGATGGCTTTTAACATGTTTTGAGACAGAAAATGAGGTAATGTTTGGAAAAGGGCACCATGCTCAATGAGAGATGTCAGTTCTAAATGGGAGAGCTAAGAATGCTTCACCAGAAAGGATGACTTGGTGGGTGACTCAGGACGCTTGTATCTTCCCTTTGCTGAGTTCTCATTCTTTTCATTCCTTTAAATTGTTTATTTTAGCCATACAAACCAAGCATACTTTTAGTTTCTGTCAAAATCCATGGTTTGTCAGATGTTCTCCCATTCTTTCCTAACTGCATCCTTGTGCTAACAGTGCATACTATTCTACATAAAGAGAGTATAGATTCCTTTTCTCATCCCTTGTATATTTATATGGTATATTTCCATTGTCCCAAGTAGCCATGGTTTGTTACTCTTATGTAATGTGTTCTGAAACCAGGCTACTGGCCAGCCGTCTGACAGCCCAGTGGACAAGGCACTCATATGGAATGTCAATGATGAGGCTTCTGATTAGTCCTAGGCAGTTTTGCTGCAGGGCAAGCATATGCTAACTATGCTTTACAACGTGTGGGTGCATCTCATCATCAACACATACATTGGCCCTCTGGTGTCTTCCATTGGCTCATGTGCTTTTAGTGAGCATGAACAGGCCTGTAGTGTTTGATAGTGAAAGACAGGATCTGAGCAACCTTCCTTTTTAAGAACAGAATTTGCATAATTTCAAAAAAAAGTAAATTGTTTCATTTCCTAATGACTTTCACTACTCTTGATCTATTGGTCAGTCTTTAAATATTTAAATTTTGTGATATTTACCATATGCAAAAGTGCATAGTAACATAGTCAAATGAATCCCAGTGAACCAGTGATTCATGTTCCTAGCTACAAATATAGCCCCTTGTAGTGCCGGGCTGTATCACATGCTTCCCTGGTCCTGCCTCCCCTGATGAGGTAGGCTGTGTCCTGTGTCTTCCCACTGACCACCTGCAATGAAGTGCATATAAAACCACATGCCTGTCCAGAGCTTTATTAAGATTGATCCCACTGTTTTCAGGCTTCTGACAATTGACTTTTCATATATTACTTTCCTAAGCTATGCCATGCTGCTGTGTGGCTGCAGTATACTTCCACCACTGCACATCACAAGCTCTTTTGAGACCATCTAACCTATATTGTTGACTTTACCAAAGAACATTCAAATTAGCTGAATTTTGCACATTTAGGAATTTTTGCTATTAGCCTTCTTTGCTAATTTCCTTCCTCAAGAATTCAGTGACAATATTTCTGTGGGTTCTATGTGCTAGATGGCACAGTTTAGTCTTAGGGTCAGTACACACCTATCTTATGAGGAACAATAAAGTTCTCTAAAGTAAATGGCACTATCTTGTGCCCATCATGACATATAAGAGACTTTGTGACTTCCTTAATCCTCCTGGATAGAGAGCGAGGACGTGTGAGGGGCCTGCTGGGTTATCTTCTTCATAGCTAATGGCTACTTGTGAGGAACAGTTTACCTTGTTATCAAAGGGGCCCAGGTGAACACACTGTGGAGTGACATGTGTGAAGATGCCACGATGGAGCACACCACTTTGCATGCCAACCTACGAAATGAAATTTCAAAGTGGTTATGGCGGTAAGCAGGTGCTGAAGTCTGCCTTGCCGTGATCTGGGTTTTCAGCCATGATTCTGTCCCCACTCTGGCTCTCTAAGTTTCCCATCCACCTTTTCCTGTTGAAATGCAGCTGATTGGCTTACACAGGCAGGCTCCATCTGTTTTCTAGTTTCTAGCACGAAGGGAACCCCTGAAAAGGTTTCCTGGCTGAGGTGCAAATGGCTTCATTTCTAAGGTCTCTGTCCTTGCTCACTGCCCTCTCTGATCTCCATCCCACCCTTTGACTAGACCATTGTCTGTATGCTCTTTGAGCCTGCTTTCGTTATGTCTAGAAGACTACAGAATTGCTCCATCTCAGACCTCTACTGAAGTGTGGGAGATGATGCTGTAATAGTCTGGGCAACAAGGATGAGCCAGGATTACTCAACTGGGGCATATGGCCACACTGACTTTGTGGGCAGTGAGTGTTTCATCTCATGGGTGGCGTCTGTTTGCTTCCCATAAGTAACTTGCAAGGCTCGGATGACAAGACTTTGTGGATTTCTTTTGTCTGAGAAATTTCCTTGCTAAGATTTTTGTCTTTTTGAGTCTGCTGTTTGGTCTTCTTAGTCTCGTGGCTTTCAAGTTTCCAGGATTATTTGACACTTCAATCCGCTGTATCGGGCTGGTTCAGAGGCAGGAAAAGCAGCCTAACGAGGGTGCTGAGTGTGGTGGCCAGGAAGGAAAATGCCCTTACAGTGGGCGGCATTTTATACTTCACGGATCTCGGGCTCTCTACTTATTTAAATATCCTCCCTCACAGTACTATGAGCTTAGTGTTCTATGCATTTGGAGGCACACGGAAGTTAAAGAACTTTCTCAACTTTGCAGCGTCAATAAAGGTTCCAACCCAAGGTTGTGGAGGATGAGAACGGGCCATGCTCAGAAAGCCAGACAGAGAGTGGTCAACCTAAGTCACTGCTCTCCACAGTGCTAAGGTTTCAACAGAAATAGATGGATTCATTTATTAAGGTCTCAGGCAATTAAACACATATACTACTGACGATCCATGCTGAATAGAGAGGTTTGCTACCAGTTTCCTCAGGCTTTACCAGACTTTGTTAGAAAAGCAACTAAAGAGTGAACTCTTCTGTTGGGGTGGGTGATGGGCCTCATCTGAAGAGGCTGAGCTTCAATGAGTCTGGGCTCTGCTGTGCTCCAGAGGAAAGTGGGCTGGGCTAGTTTTCCTCTCTGAAGCAGAACTTCATTGCCTGAGGTGTAAAGTACTATTGTTCAAATTCCAAGTGTCCCCCAATGGCTCATGAAATCCCTGTCATTGTGTGAACCCCTCTCCTTAAACTTAAAGTTCTAATCTGTGAGCGGGACTGGAATTGAACTTCCTGCTGTCAAAATTCTCAGCAGCATCTGGCGGAGACCTAGGATGGTAGAAGTCATTGATTGTTGAAGATTTTTCAGGTCTTCTAAAAGCCAGGTAGGAGGCTCCCAGCTAGGACCAGTGCTCTGAGTCATAGCTGAGAAGCGCTGTGGCTAGTCTGCCCTGGGAAGTCCTTCCCTCTGGAAACTTGACCTAGCTGCTGCCATTAACAGCGCAGACTCTAAGTGATGCACGCTCAGGTGTGTCATCCCCAGGGCTTGTGTCACCCCCAGTGTGCACCCCCAGGTGCAAATGAGATTATGAATTCTCCAAAGGTAGGAAGTGTGTTCATTCATGTGAGGGCCAGAATAGTTGAAATGTGCCACTTGGCCACTGCTGCCCTCAGATTCCTTTTCTCCTCATCTCAGCCATCCAGTCCCCTTCCTTCTCATTCACTCAAACCAAAACCTTCACTAGGATGGATTTCTCTGTGGCCCCTGACTTCCCAAACGTGTCCAGGCATGACTTTATCCCAACACTGGAAACCCCTAGATTCAAACAATGAACTCTATCAAGTGTTACCATGGAAACCCTCAACTCTTCCCAAACTAGAGCCCATAAAACTACACTTTGCTAGGAAGGAGATGCTCAGATCTCACAGAGAGAGTTCATGTTTTGTTAAGAGGAAATATACCCAATCTCTTCACCACTATCAGTCTAGAATGCCATGGCACTTCTTAATACCATATCCCTTGTCTTAGTCATTGTTCTCTCTGAGGAGACACCATAACCAGGCAACTCCTATAAAAGAAAGCACTTAACTGGGGGCTGGCTTACAGTTTTAGAGGGTCAGTCCATGATCATCATGGCAGGAAGTGGACAGGCACGGTGTTGGAGCAGTAGCTAAAAGATTTACATCTTGATCTGTAGGCAGCAGGAAGGGAAGAAGGAATGGGGGAGAGAGAGATAAAGAAAGTGGGGTGGTGTGGCGTGCCCCCTGACCAGCAGGGGAAGAAAGACCACCGACACGAGGATTCTCCTCTGATCATGCTTTTAATGAAGCCTGCTTGGTTGAGGGAGAGCTGGAAGTGAGGGGCCCCGAGCTGTGGCGGCTTATATGTAGGCTGAAAAGATGTTCCCCCCTAACAGGACACTAGTCAGGCTAGGATTGGTGCAAAGCTGTTGCTAGGCAAACTAAGGCAAGACTCGCGCCAAAAATAGAATTGCTTATCTTGTTTACCACGCTTCTCAGCGCCATCTTGTAATGGCGGATCTCAAACACGTGTGGATCCCCACACTTCCCCCTTTTGTTTTAAATCGTATAAAAATGTACCGGTCATAGCTGGGGATAGTGGATGCTGCCCTGAAAAATATTGTCACTCCTTTTTCAGGGATAGGGTAACATTGAGGGCGACCTATATGCTTAGCATCATATCCCCCTGATAGGATCTGATCAGTGCACTCTCAGGTGCAAGCTATCCATGGTAGCCTCTGACCGGTGCCAACCGGTCATCCAGTCCCTCTGGGTGCAATGGCAACAAGGCCTCCATGTGCAAGGGCACTGGATTAGAGGTCCTAAAAAATGCTGATCCATGCTTGGGGGGACTGGCCGGCTTCCAAAGCTGCCAAAGCTCGAGCAATTGCAACCTTCTCCCGTTTCCTAACACGCAGCATCCTACAGAGCAGGAACAAGACAAGTATCAGACCTGCAAAAATTATCATGCCGAACATGCCAACTCCAACCCACTCTTTAAAATAGGTGAATGTAGCTACTAACCAATCAGAAAACTGTCCCAATGTAACAACTTCTACTACTGTCTGGTTAAGCATGTGTATCTTAAGCGTAAAATTAGCTTGAAGCTGTTTAAGTTTTTGGGACCAATTTTCACTTAATAAGGCTGATATAGCTTTGGAATCATTAAGGGTAGCAGGATAGGGGGTAATACACATATGAGTAGTTTTATTTACACAGCTCATAGATATAACATCAAAAACTTTTGCCTAGACACAGCATGTTAAGAATATCTCTGTTTCCACCCATTTTTAAGGAAGGAAAAGGCAAAATAGAGTAAGAGATAAGAGGTTGAAGGTCATCTCTGCTGTCTCCACATGAATCTTTTACAGCAGGACACTCAGCATTTACTGGGTCATCTTTTTTTTTTTTATTTTTTTTGTCGGTCTTGTTGGCACCCAGATGTATGTCAGCATTTTTAGAAAAACATAAACAAAACTCTCCTTCCAAATTAATATTTAAGAGTATTAAAAATCTCAGTGTAAAAATTCAGCACAATCAGTACTGGAAGTAGGCTGGTATTGAACTTAGAGACCTGCATGTCTCTGTTTCAAAGAGCAAATCTTGTTTGCCTGTGCCATTAAAGCAGGCCTTAAAATTAGATGGAATTGCTTTTAAACAGAGCATGTCTGTCTGTTGTTGTTTTTTCAGCAATATTTTGTCCACATGTAAAGCAATTTTTTGCATTGTTTCCTTGTCTACGAGTGGCAGCCACTACTGTAGCAGCTAAACCTGCATTGGTCAATGGTCCACCAATTTTTCTATAAGCTTTTAACCAAGCTTTTAAGCCTTTCCCTTTCCATGGAGTAATGGCTCTTCTGTATTTTTTGGTAGCTTGTTTATACACTAGCTGTTGAACTAGAGGCATGCCCTGCTCCACATCTTCAAAAATCTTTTCTGTAGCTTTAAGCATTTTCGCCACAAAGTCTGAGAATGGCTCATTAGGTCCTTGCATAATTTTTGTCAAATTTTTAGAGACCTCTCCTCTATTTATTATTTATTATAATATATTTATTATTATTTATTATAATATATTTATATATATTTATATATATTTATTATTATACGTTATTATTATACATTAACTCGAGCTTGCCCATGAGCCGCATCAGTAACTATTGATCTGTAATCCAAATATTGTCCTGTGGAAAGGCAAGCTCTAGCGACTTTCCACCAATCTGAAGGAGTCATAGCCTGATTGGCTAACCTGCTTAAGAGTGTGAGTGTATAGCTGGCATTTGTTCCATATGTCTTTGATGCTTTTACCAAATCTTTGAGCTGCTTATAAGGAATGGGCTCATGATATCTGGTATTTGTTTGAGGATCTTGAAATACTGGAAAAGCAGCCGCAAGGCAGGACCAGGTTCTCCCACCAATAAAATGGCATTTATTCTGAGGAGGGCAATAAGGGGGTGGAGCCGGCTCAGAATACGGAGCCGAAGGCGCCATTAGCCCCGTTCCTAATTTGGCTCGTCTGCCCCTTACTGGCAGATCATTTCTCTCCTCCTCATAACTTGCAGCTGCCTCCTCCAAATCCTCCTCTTCTTGCTCAGTTAATTCATCCTCCTCCTCTGAGTCCGTTATCTCGAGGGAGGCAAATTTTTCCAGCACCGGATATAAGGACGCTGGAGGCTTTTTCTTAATATCTTCCAGCACCGGATATAAAGGAGCTGGAGGCTTTTTTTTTTAATATCTTTTTTTGTTTTTTTATGAGGGTTTTTTTTTCTTTCCTTTTTTTTTCTTTTGGCTAGCCTTTTTCTTTACTCTTTTATTTTTGTGCATGTTTTGATCCTCTCCTTTTGATTCTGCTTCTGATAAACTGTCCTGGTGCTCTGATAGTACCCTGTGTCCTTGCTTAATTACTTCTATATTTTTTTCTTTCTTAAAGCACGAATGTACCAATCTCCACAAGGGGAGCGTTCCTCTGTCTAATTGATCATTTTTCTCAAGGTCTCTGCCTAGTTTTTTCCAACAGTTGAGGGTGAGATCGCCAGAGACGGCAAACCACGGTGCAGTCTTATCTATGTCCTTGACGATGGCCTGAATGGTACTCGTAGAGATCTTTAAACCCCTTTGTTTCAACAGACTCTGTATTGGACTGGTGAAATCACAGACTCCTGACTCAGTACTATGACTGTGGCCCATACTTATTTACGAGGTTTTTGGCATCAGTCGAAAGCCGCTTTATCTACAGCGGACTTACTTTTGATTTCTTTATTTATGAGGCCTTGGCGTTAGTCGAAAGCCGCTTTATCTACAGCGGACTTACTCTCGATTTTTACACCCAACAAAGACACTCCTTTCCAGGTTCATCACACCGCAGCCAAAAACAACAAAAATAGACTACAAGGGTTAGCAGAATAACATACAGAGCAAACCACAGCGGGTCAATTCCGCCGACCAACATACTTGAGAGGACTTACCGACGTCGTCCGCTTCGCGTGTAGAGTTCTGAATCCTCTTCGGCCCCTCACAGGTGTCGGCTAGATGCTCAGTCCTGCGTCCGGGTTTCTGGCACCAGCTGTGGTCCCGGGTTTCGGCACCAGCTATGGCGCGCCCCCTGACCAGCAGGGGAAGAAAGACCACCGACACGAGGATTCTCCTCTGATCACGCTTTTAATGAAGCCTGCTTGGTTGAGGGAGAGCTGGAAGTGAGGGGCCCCGAGCTGGGAGGAGTGGCGGCTTATATGCAGGCTGAAAAGATGTTCCCCCCTAACAGGACACTAGTCAGGCTAGGATTGGTGTAAAGCTGTTGCTAGGCAAACTAAGGCAAGACTCACGCCAAAAATAGAATTGCTTATCTTGTTTACCACGCTTCTCAGCGCCATCTTGTAATGGCGGATCTCAAACACGTGTGGATCCCCACAGGGTGGGGGAGAGAAGCTGGCATGAGCTTTTGAAACCACAAAGCCTACCCCTAGTGACATACCTCCTCTAACAAGGCCACGCCACCTAATCCTTCTGAAACAGTCCAACACCTGGGAATTAGGCATACATGCATATGAGCCACTGGAGGTCATTCTCATTCAAACCACCACAGCCTTTATTTAAAAATTCATCCCAACTATTGGGTGGATTTAAATACTGTTGAGGAAGTAGCAGACAAAACTGAAGTCCTGCCTGTCGAATGCTTCCATTCTTAGAGAAACGGGCAATGGAGAGTAATCACATGTGTATATGATGTGATTGACAGTAACAGTGACTACTGAAGTTCATTTTACTGAGTGGTCCAGGAAGGTAATGTTTGAGCAGAGATCTGAATAAAGGGACAGCCTGGGACAAAAATGCACACAGATGTCAGAACGAGAGGCAAGACAGTGTTGGTGAGGCAGAGGAACCTCTGAGGATGAAATGAGACTATTAATCAAGGCCTCAAACATGGAGAGTGTTTGATTTGTATTTACAGACTTGGAATTTGTCCTCAGGGCACCAGGAAACCATTGAATGATTCCAAGATGGGAAATAATAGGACCAAATTCACATTTCTCGACATTTCTGTAATTCATGCTAAGGTGTACGTAGTAGGTACATGGGCTCGTGGTAGAAGTAGAGGAGCATAATCCATGTGGAGATGGATGTTGACATGAACTGAGATGGCAGTGAGACAAAACAGACAGAAAACAAAAGGGACAAGGAAGAAAGAGACCCTCACGCTCTGGCTCTGAATCCTCATTTCTCACTGTCTGAAGAAAAAAAAAATTCAACCCATCTCACAAAAACCAGTGTTGTATGGTGGTCTACAGAGAGACAATGGTCTCTTTGATGAGAGACATTTTCAACAGAAGAATTGACAGCTACTAAAACCTGTTTCAGGCCCAAAACAAAGGTCTTACACTCCAGCGGCCTTGCTTTTAAGCTATCAGAGCTATCAGCACTATTCCTACTCCTTGAAACCCAAAAGTGCCCCTCATAAGCCACCTTATAACTGCATTACAGAGAGGAACGTATGAGGATAGGAGCTATAAGGGGAGCAGAGATGACTCGTTGGCTAAGAGCACTTGTTCTTGCAGAGGACACACATCACTTCCCTGATCCACATGGCAGGCCACACCCATGTGGCTCCAATTTCAGAGGGTCTGCCAACTCTCCTGGCCAGGCATGCAGGTAGTTCATGTGCATACATGTAGCAAACAGGCATTTGCACGTAAAATATTTCTCAAAAGGTAAGATATGCGAGCAAACCAAATCATGTCTTAATTTTAAAATACTACTTAATTTAAAAAAAATAAGTAATCTTTAAGCCTAGGTGTGGATTAAATCATTTAAACAATCTAGGCCTGGAGAGATGAGGAAATTGCAGCTGAATTGTGGCAGTTTTATCTCCTGATGTCCAGAATGGTTAAGCATCCTTGAAGCTTCAACTGTGTGTTTCTGCTGTATCAGAAACCCAGGCTGGTACTTTCCCAGGGAATTTCTTCATTGCCACACACACACACACACACACACACACACACACACACACACATTCTTGCATGCATGCATGCATGCACACATGCACAAGCATGGTCTACATTCTCAATAGACCCTGACCATTCTAATATGTTGCGTTGTGGTTTTGATCCCTGCCTTGACGGCATTTGAAAACATCCTTTTCTTAATGGACTTGAACTTGTCTTCACACTGACCGTCCTGCGATCCTCTCCTGCAGAGTCAGTCAGGATCCTGGCTACAGCTGAGGGAAGATCCCTGAGTGGTACCCAGGCTGCTCCAAGCTGCATCTCCGGTGGCTGCTGTTAGGAACAGTGGAGGCAGTGAGATTGGATGAACTTCGGGTGTGGTTTTCAATCAGACTTGCTTATGCTTTGTGTATGAAAACCAAAGATAGCTTCTAGCATGCATTTCTAGGAAATTACTTGATGCTTAACTATCTTAAAAATAATGGGCAAGCTGGGCGGTGGTGGCTCACACCTTTAATCCCAGCCCTTGGGAAGCAGAGACAGGTGGATCTCTGTAAATTCAAGATCAGCCTTGTCTACAGAGCTAGTTCCAGGATATCTAGGACTTATACAGAGAAACCCTGTCTCAAAATAACAAAACAAACAGATAAACAAACAAAAATGTGGGCAAAATACTTTCCATGTTATGTTTCTCCAGAATCTTTTTCCTAAACTCTCCCATCAACGGTGAGGTATAAAGTCAGGCATGTCTATATCCTCACACTTGGAAGGCAGAGAGCTGATAAATTCAAGGCCAGCCTGGGCTGCATAGTGACCCTCTGACTCAAAACAAACAGTAGAACAAAGCCAAATAAACAAAGAAAAAAACCAAGAGAAATATATAATGGAAGAAAATGAACAAAACACAAAATAAGTAAGATCAATATCCCATGACTGTCAAAATAGGCAGGTTTGTGACAAACATCATGTTAGAGACTGGGCCACAAAATGTGATGCGGTTTCTGTCTGTCCTTGCCTGGATACTCACACTTGTAACCAATGCTGCAAGAAAGCCGCGGTCCCCAGGAGACAAAGCAGAGTCCCTAGCGCCCAGCCTCAACAGCCAAGGTCAGCTGGCTAACCCTATGAGTGCGCCTTCCTAGCAGTGTGTCCCCACGGCTGTGCCTGGATTCCTCCCAGCAGCTCACTTACCCATGTCTTTGTCTACACTGATCTTTGGACTTTTATAAAGACTCCCCAGGGCAAGATATGCAACAGTTTCTGGCTCGGCTTCCATTTTGCATGCCAAGTAGCAGCTTTTCTCTCCTCAGACAAGGCCTCATCTTCGGTAACTTGCCTGCACCTGCACTGCGTACCTCTGTAATTATCCCTCTGCTGTCCTCTAGGGGCCACAAGCCACATTGGCCCGTTTACATCCTTAATATGGTCAGCAAAAATGTAGGCAATGCTTACTTCTAGGAAGGAACTATTCTGAATACTGCACATCCATGTCCCCTGTTAGTCGGGACAGTTCACCAAGGCAGGTGCTGGCATTTGCTCCAATTCCCAAGATGGGGAAACAAAGGCCAAGAACCATATACTTTACCCAAGCCATGCCCACCATGTGGCCTAAGCTAGCATGGAAGGAAGGCAAGGCAGTGCTGTTTCAGAGTTTGTGCTGAGTGATTGCCCTCTGGTAGAGTAGGAAAGGGAGGTAAAGTTGGCGTCAGTGAAATGCGTGTCGACTTCCACAACTTGTATAAATGAGCTAACCTCTCAAGTCAGGTTTTTACCTCATATCTGGCTCAAGCACAAGCTGCCGCACTGGTCTCCTCCTGTGGTGGTCTTCCCCTCTCCAGGCTGCTCTCTACACGGTAGCCGGAGACACCTTTAAAGAAATTATAAATGAATTAATGAGCTGTTATCATTTTGCCTTTCCTCTATCTAAGGAAAATTCTAATCAGTGCTATCAAAGAGAAAGATTAGTCAGCTAAGCAAATGGAATTCAAATAGCCTGAACCCTAAAACCACAATCTCAAACAGAGTCCTCCGCTGTGCGGTTATACCGCTTGATAAGCGGTATTTATCTGAGTAGAGTTGGCCTTTCTTCTGTTCACCACCATATGCAGGGAAGAAAGAGCCGTCTTTATTTTATGAGAGAAGAAATCCTACTGTATGAAAAGCGTTGCGGTCTAAGTCAGACAATAAAGATGATGGAGGGTTAGCGCTGTCACTTGTAGGAGAACTGTCTCTCCTGGAATCAAAAGAATTTGCACAGCCCCCATGAGCGATGCGCTCTTTAACGTCTGCCACACAGAGAGACTCACGACGCCAGCCAGGCAAAGGCTGCTCAGGTTAAAAAGGAGGACAGTAGAAGACACCATGGATGTGGTTCTCACGTTCCTGAGAAATATCTATGGCTTGGTTTCAAAAACAGCATGGGAAAGCATCTGGGACTCCAAAGTCAGAGCAATAAAAACACCAAAGACAAAGACGAGTGGAGAAGTTTCCACCCCACGCCCTGCCAGCCTCCAGAGTCACGTCCTTCGTCCCCCAGTGCCCTTTCTCCTCTGTGGAATTTCTCAAAAAAATACAATCTTTTCATGGCACGTGACATAAAAATAGTTGACAGTCCACAAAATCTCCCTTTCTGATGGAGAGGAGAATGGCTGGGATTCCCAGCCGTTTGCTGGAATACAGCTTTTTCCTCGGGGTTTCTACTTCACCCTAGGTATGATTTCAGCTTGCCTGCGCTGAGGATGGGAGTGAAGAGAGCAGAAGTGGAGACATCTTTTTCTGTGCTCTGGGAAGGGGTGTCCTTCCCCTGTTGTCTTATCTGCGAATTGAAAAAAAAAAAAAGGAAGGAAAGAAAGAGGCCAAAGAAGGAGAATCAAGGTGATTTTTTTCCTTAGTAGAATACCATTTCCCAAGCTCCCAGGTTTCCAGTCTGTGTTGCTAGGTGGCAAGTTGTTCTCAGTATCAGCGTGTGTCTAGATCACTGAAAGACATCCTCACTGATGCAGATGCCTGTATGACTAAGTTGATCTCATCCTTTCAAGAAGCATTTGGGATGGTTCTGAACCAAGGCGCACAGATGCAAGGAGTGCTGACGTCATGGTGGACCGAGTGCACTGGAATCTGCGAAAGAGCAACAACCCTGCTTCATGCATCAATCTTTTCATGTTGGTTACTTGAAACCCATGCTCCTTCTCTTCTGGCCGCCATGAAAGAGCATTCTTTGCTCTATGTGCTTGATGTTTCTCCTCCTCACAGGCCCATGATGACTGAGCCAAAAAAGCCTCTGCGGCCATGATTGTAAACAGCCACTGCCTTTAAGTGTTTATTTCAAATCTTTTGCCACAGTGATGGACAGCTGCCAGCCCAACTTTACTCTGAAAAGCTGTTATCTAATTAAGGCCAACTGTTTGAACTCCAAAGCCTCAATACCTTTAAAAAATAATTGCCTTTGAAACTCACTGGGTGTCTTGGAACACTGCGTTCTGAAACAAAACAAAGTGTGGTAACTTGAAGACCTGGGACCCATGGAGCAGACAGTGAATCTTCAGAGATAATCTGCTCCTGTCTCTCTGCCCACCCTCAGAGCTGACTTTCAAGGCTGCCTTCCCACTGGCTTGCTGAGGGCTGACAACTGTAGCAGAATACTGAAACAATGTCTCCCTGACACTTCTTCCAAACATTTCTCCCAGCGCTACACTCACGAGGTAAGAGTGTCACGAGGTAAGAGTAAGGTAAAAGTGCCATATCCTTTGGCTGTTTGCTGGCTGCACCTTTAATCCTAGGACATACGCATTTTTCTCCTTCCAACTTAGTGTCTTGCAGGAGTCACAGTGGAGAAGGGTGACCAGAAGTGGCAGTAATTATACTGTCACACAGATTCCACTTGTTCTTCCACGGCCAGAAGACAGACATGGATGAGCTGTGGCATCAGTGTCAAAGACATGATTTTCAGGCTGAAAATGAAGAGGGAGAAGCGGCGTGGCAGGTACTGCACAGGGGACATATGAGAACTTGGCATGCCAATAAGTCACTGTATGTGAGTTACGGCTGCAGATGAATCTAGAAACAGTTCAGTCCTCAGGGCCAATATCATCGCCACAGTTTGATTTTCCCCACAGTTTTTAAAAAGTGCTTGGAAATGGGGAAGAGAGGAAAGGAGGAAAAAGGAGTTTGGGGGTCAGAGAGACAGAAAAAGAGACAGGGAGTGGTGGTGTCCAGGAACCAGGGTCCCAGTACATTTATTCAAAGGCATGTCCCAGTGGCACGCTTCCTCCACCTAGAATTCTACTTCCTAAGATTCCACCACTTAAGTCATAGCAAAAGCTCAGATTTCATTATCACCTTTGGGGGGGGTAAATCATTTCATTGGTGTCTGTCACTCAGCGGACTATAACGTACCATGTTCTAAATGCTAGACACTCCCCTCTGTTTAATTAGATTTTCTTCCATTTGGTCAATTCTGACATAGTGTTAAGGTTTGGATATAGGATGTGTGAACACGTGTGTCCCAACTATTTTGGAATGTTGTGGAACATTGAGTGGCGGTGTCTAAAGTGAGGAAGAGGATCTCTGTAGGGTGGACATGACTTTTGCAGATGTGTGCTAAGTTGGAATGGATGATCCTGAAGTTGGATAGTCAAGGCAACTCTCTGTGAAGAGAAGCCCTGGATAGCTACTTTTGAGGAACTAAGTGCTTTTTTTAGAATTTGCCTTCTTGCTGAATCTCACTCACTGCATTGATCTTAATTTGTCCGTTGGCCAAAGGAAGCTGTGATAGTTATTTGAAGTGTTATTGCCAGGTTACAATACAAGTGTTATTGTATAATCCTGTGTGAAGATTAGAAATTGCTAGGTGTGGTAGAAATATGGTCCACATAGCCAATCCCCTTTGCCTGAGAGGTGACACGGTCCTCCAGAAGCCAAGCTTCAGGTCAAGTGATTTCCTGAGGGAGTATTCCTCAGCAAAACCTACATCAACGAGAAGGGAACAAAATAGGAAAGGGTGGATTGCTGCTCAGACAGACGGTCTGTCTCAGGGAGCGTGTAGGGACTACGGTGCTAACGTGGTGCAGTAACACTGTCAGCATTTGAGGTGGACTGGACTTTTGTGTTCCCTGTGAGTCACCCACTGCTGTCGTGGAGAGGTGGGCAATGAGGAGAGCTGGAGGAAGGTTGCAGTCATGTTAGTGGTGAGATAACATCCCATGCACACCTTGGTGCGGTGGCTTCTGCCAACTGCGGCCCACCCTCAGGTGCTGGTAACCTCTGTTCTACTCATGAGGGCATCTTCATCACCGCACCCCTGAGGACTCCATTGTGTGTTGATTACTTCCTACTAGAGCAGCGCACTGGAAGGGGCCTCAGAGCTGCAGAGTATTAGGCAAATACAAAACAGAGGGCAAGTGCCACATGCTTCAACCCAGTGCTTGGCACACGGAAGGGCTCTGCAGATGCAAGCTTCTCTTCCTTTTAAAAACATTGTAAATCAGTGTGTGCACACGCACACAGCATGGTCCACGTGTGAAGGTCAGAGGCAACCTGGGTGAACTGGTTCTCTCCTTCCACCTCGCGGGTTCCAAGGTCTAGCACAGGTAAGAGGATTGTTGGCAAAATATCTTCCTTCCAATGGCACCCCTGAAATCAGTGAGCCAGGAAAGAATACCCTCCAAGCACTGGTCCCGCAGGACTTGGTGCAGGTGTGTGGGCTCCAACCCTTCTTTGCATTTCTGGAACCTCATCTCAGGATCACACAGTGTACTACTGACTTTTGTTACAGTGTAGAAGAACCTGCTTCTGACAATTCGTTATCATCAGCAATAATAACCATAAATGTTGGCTCTACATAGGTTTAGCATTTCAATCAATTTGGGTTAATATAGTTAGAGAAAATAGCCAAATTCTATATTTTAAGAAATCTTTCATCCATTTTATCTCCTAAACTTCTAAAGTATGTGTAACAGGTTTTGCTGTCTCATTTAGTACTTATATGACTGCAGTTTTCCTACATTTTTTCAAATCTGAAAGCTAAAATCTTCTGTTCTATCCCTACTATCCTTAGAAATCCTACTCCATCTTCAGTTATAAGTGAGAAAACTGCCTAATGGTTATTTGTCCTAACAATATAAGCGGTGTGTAAATGAAGTTGCCTATGAATTAACCAAAAGAACAATCCCACCTATAAAGAGTAATTCCTTCTGAAAATCTATGTCAGAAATTTAGTAATTCCTACATGGACTTTCAAACTTGAGTCTTTTCAGTCTGGTATTGCTCTTCTGTGATTATAACATTACCAAACCCAGATCCGAGTTAACTAGATGTTCATCAAAAAGAAACTAGTCAGCCGAGGAGATGGTTGGTAAAACACACACGCCTCAAAAGTGCGACAACACACCGGGCATGGTGGCCACACGCCTTATTCCCAGCAGAGGCAGGCAGATATCTGTGAGGCCAGCCTGGTCTACAAAGTGAGCTCCAGGACAGTCAAGGCTGTTATCCAGAGAAACCCTGTCTGGTAACGGTGGTGTGGACGGTAACCACTGTGATGGTGAGCCGGGAGGTTGAGACAGGGGATCCTGGTTCTCTGACCAGCTAACCAAGCCTATTTGATGATGTCTCCAGGCCAACCAGAAAATGGTTCCTCAATGTTGCCTCAAACAAAAAGATATCCAAGGAATCACATCTGAGGCTGTCTTCTGCCCTCCACATTCATGCACATACGCATGCATGCACACACACACATGTATGTGCACACACAAAACTTGCAATATGTATCATCAATGCCTCAGAAGACAGAGAGGAAGATTGTTCTCTGGCATCAATCCCTGGTGCTGGAAAAATGTTAAGTAAATCAATACACTAAAAAGTGACTGG